TGTAAACATGGCCACGACCTCACTCAAGCGCAAAAAATAGAATATTTTAATTTTTTTAATAAAAATTTATTAAGATAATTTAATTTTAAAATATTTTTTCCTTAATTTTTAAAAGATATAAAATAAAATAGATAGGTATTATTCTTTAAATTTATAACATATTTATTAGTCTTAATAAATATTTGTGTAAACATGGCCACGACCTCACTCAAGCGCAAAAGATGGTTTGAGTTGAGAAATGTTGACCCTTATGTAGCCACATACTCTATGATTGCAAATTTGCCCTTGATTCCAATTTGATTGCTTTAGAAACAAGTAACCATTTTTTATACATAGTCTTCAAACCAATGAAGACGGTGGAGAATAGAGATAATATTCTTTGATAGTTGTCCCCCGATACGTTGTTCAATTTTCAAAGCTCAAACTCTCCTTTTTCTTTTCTTATTATCTATTTTCTTTAAAGAATATTTAAAGCATGCCTCCTTGGCTTTCCAAGACCTAGTTTCTAACTTTAATCCCCATGAAAAAAGAAATCCCTTCTTTTCCACTTGCCCCAATTCAAATTCTAATTTTTCTTGATTCCAATACTAATGAATATAAAAATGTCTGTGCACGATCTCATCAACTTTGATGATTGGTTATGGACCTTTAACCACACCATCACATGATTAAACAAGCATTTTTTGTCATCTTTATTCCAAGAAAAATATACTTAATTGTAATTTGACTTAAAGCTGTCTTTCTTTTGAATACTTTATTGTTCATGTTCATGCACAACTAAAAGGGTATAAAAAATGATAGTGGATTGAGACAATCTCCTGTCATACGATTGATAAACAAATAAAAAATATATATAGTTTTGTTTTTGGAGTTTATTTTTAGGATTAATTAAATCAAGAGATCCAACATCCAACTACCAAGTTGGAGTAGGACGGAGAATGGAAAATAGAATGGAAAAAGAAGAAAAAAAATACGACTTATTTTGTTGACGGATTTGTCAATAAAGTAGAGCAATTGTTAGAGAATGGAGCTGCATTGAAGAGGGATTTTGGGAAGGCGCTTCCACATCTTCTTGTTACTACATGTAATGCAAGAATTCAGCTCGGTTTGGCTCATTTGTAGTAGCATTGTCTACCAGCCACCAAATCAAGATTTTTCAACTAGTAGGACTATTCAATTTAACAAAGTTTTGAACACATGGCCCTTGACCAAAAAATTAATGTTTAAAGTTTAAACAATAATAAGTATCAACTTTCGCTTAACTTTTAGTAGAGGTGGCAAAATAGAAACTAGTAATGCTTTTTACCTAGAGGGACCATTCAACAGTTTGAAATATTAATTTTGAGTTTTTTTAACATGTGCCTAAAAATATATTTATTATATATATTTATTATTAATTTATATAAAAATTACAAAATGTAAATTTTATTTTCAACACTAATACAACATGAAATATTTTAATTAAATAATTAATAAAATTAAGATTAATTTTTATTATTCTATATAAATTAAAGATAAAAATATACAATAAATACTAATACAGGTTAGAAAATTTCATTAGTCTTTTGTTTTGTAATTTAAATAATAAAATCTTGAGATATTAGATGAGGAGGGTTTACCCTTAACTCCATAAGGTCTTACTTATCTAATAGTTCATATTTCGAGTTGGACTGGTAATCTTTGGATCACATTTTGGAGCAAACAAAAGATGAGTTTGAAAAGGTCAAAAACGACCCGCTTTACCAGAGGCTAATTACTGGATTAAGTGAAAGAGAAAACATTAGGTAGCCAACTCTTTTCAAATATTTTTACGCGGGTAACCTTTTTTAAGCTTTTGGTAACAAAGAATCATTTTTCTGGTAGAGGTAGATAGAAACCGGTGGAAATGGACCAGTGACTCTCTTTTGCCACCCTTTAAAGCACCATCTACAAAATAATGAGATTGACTATAGAAGCTGAGCAAATTATTGCCACTTGCACATCTCAATCTTATCTTGAAGGAAGCAAAGGTAACTTATCTTCACTCACGGGGATGCCACCCAGGTGGACCAAAATATTAAATGAAGGGAGATAAGAGGGAGGGAGAGAATATCAAAGAGAACAACTATCTTAGTTTAAAAGGTGTCCATATTTTGTGGTGGTCCTGTTGAATCATGAATGCTTCTAATCATCCATAAAGAATTTCAACCCATTAGAAGTTTCCTAGATATTCTTCATAACTCCACCTAAACTTAGACCAACATATGAAAGACAAAAACTAGATGACCGCCTAAAAATCCTCAACTGTGTCGGCACAATTGAACAGTTAGCTCAAGTACTGCATGCCCAAGTCAAAGACTCATTAAGTTACTTGCATTATTGGGGACTGGGGAGGTGGAGTGCGAGGGAAAAGGGGTTCGTTGGGTGCAATAAAGCTACCCTTGAGTTTGTGCTCAAAGCCTCAGATTGGGGGAAATAGTTCAAAGATAACTCTTAAAGGATGCACATAACTAGAAAATATTGCCTGTTTTCTACCAATCATTTACAAAATACTGATTTTCATGTTTTATACAGTTTTCCCATGTCAAGCGTGCTTCAAAAGCACATATTGTAGGTTAGATATAGATCATGCAACACAATTTCTGTACTCCACACCAAAAAGAAGAAAGGAAAGACTGAATTTGTACCAGGAAGGAAGCTCAGTCTTCACATCTCTGAACAAACCAGCCATTAGACCTTCAGCAACTCCTGAAAGACAAAGGCAAGATTGATATGTGTTAAACATCAATTGACAACAAGAAGCATTGAGTCCAAAAGAGAAAAATAATATCAGAAATCTGCAGGAAGAACCGAGTATACAAACAGTTTAGAATTTACAAGCACAGATGTGATGGTCAGCAAACCAATTATGATGTTCTTGCATAGATTGGACAGAATACAATACTGTTAACCTTTATTGTTGTATCACTTAAGAGCTGATACAATTTTATCCATCAAAAGCAAAATTTTCTAATCTGCAGAGCACAGCACTTGGTTGCAATCTGCCATTACTCCTGTCAGTTACTAGCAAGAAAGTTTAATCACTGATTGATGTAAAAGGCAGTGAAGGGCCTATTGCCTACATCTGCCACCAGAACTGAAAAGGAGAAAGGGTAACTGCTCCCAGATTAAGAGAACCACCTCAAACTCACATTTATGCGCTCTATTTCTTTAAAACATTTCCATATAGATGACCACACAGCAAAAAACATGTTGTACAAACTAAAAGACTAAGACTTAGGGAAACAATGCAAAACTAACAGTAATTGAAATTGAAGATATTCTTCCTATGTCACCATCTTATATCCTATAACAAATTATAGATGGGATGAGTACAGCACTGTCAAAATATAAAGGACTTCATTTGGAGGACAAGCACAATGTAGCCTATTCTACCCCAATTATAGCCAAGGAGATCTCCAGTTCACAGAGCTCTATATAAACATACATGCATTTGTAATTCATTGCCATACTACTTTGGAATCCTTCAATAGCCATAATAATTGATAAATCTAGATACCACTAAAGAAACATTAATCAGATAATCACGGCAAACTTCTTCAGGCATGCATACCTTCTCTTTCTCCTTGTAGAGGTTATCAATCTTCTTCATATACTCATCTGTTAGTTTCTGCAAGAATAGATTTATTAGCAAATTTGAGCACCAGGAAAAAGAAAAAGTCCAACCATGTTGATTTTTGCATATCAAACCAGACAGTAATTACCAAACAGCAGAAACAGAGAGAAAACCAAAATACCACACTGTTATTGGAAAAGAATTTTTATATGATAAATCTTTCTTCTCATTAAGGGATAAATTCTGTGGCTGCCTTGAAATTAATTGCAAATGTGAAGGAAGTTCTATTGAAGAAATTTGAACAAAATGGTTGTTGCAATCTCCTTGTTGTTGTTGTTATTGTTTTTTTTTTTTCCCTCATTTCTTGCCATGTCACAATCACCTCAGCAGAACAATTTTTTGTTCTAGCCTCTGAGAGCAAGAAGACACCGTTCTTCCCTCAATTTTGTTCCTAAAGAGTTACCCAAAAAATGGAACACCAAATATAATCAACAAATTCAAGAAAATCCTCAATTGTCAGACTTGGTAGGAGTTGAAGGGCGAGCATCAGGTTACCTGCACATCACTTGATAAGTCCTTAACAATATCTTCAGAAAGCTTCTTCTCCTGATAGAGAAAACAAATAGAATAAAGATTGAGAAAGAAGTCACAAGTAAAACTGGAGAACAAAGAAATATGAAAAAAAGAAATAACCAACAAAAAGAAAGAGAATGGTGTAGAGGGGAAGGCAGTCCAAAAGTGCAAACCTTCTCAAGTTTTTCATAGGCTTTTATGCCATCTCTTCTTATGTTCCTCAGTGCCACCTACAAACAGTTCATCAACCAAGATTATTCAAGAAGGCAGGATAAATGACCTAGTTCTATTCTATATTCTATAACCACCCATATTGAATAGTCCTACGAAGGCATTTTCAGAAGTAAATTTAGGTAAAATCTAGGGTGTGTGGATTGAGTTTCTTTTAAGCACCTTAACACGTTTGAAGCTGTTATCAGCCATTAACTTTCTTTTCTGTTTTACAAGCCAAGTTGAAGGTTTTTTCCTAAAAAGCCCAAATGCTAATATAGTTTGACATTGAACAAATACACCCTTTTTCTGATCATTTCTAATATCAGTAAATCTTGAACTAAGGAAGACAGATAAATAAATCCTAAGAACTGATATATTGATAGATTTAGCAAAAAGTGGAGTTTCTGAGTTATCATAAATGAGAATAAATGAAGCATATGTACCTTTCCTTCTTCAGCCTGTTTGGCAACAACTTTTGACAATTCCTGCAATTATGTCAGTAAAGCAACCTATAATCAGAGTTTCTAAAAACATTCTTAAGGATAATCATTGACTAGTATTTAACTCAAGAAAAAACACTTTCCAGAAAGAATAGTAAATTAATTCTACCTATAAGGTAGGTAACCCCATCTTTCAAACAAAACAATGTATTGCCAACACTCTTATCAAAAAATCATTTTATACTTTCTGGTATGTTCTTTAATCTTATTCAGAAACTTTTTCTATGGTTCCAGAAAAAAAAAGGTACTTCAATTCATATGCACTTAAAACAAGAGGTACAGTTGAATCCCCCCATACAAAAGCCCCTTGAAGTAAGAACAGCCTTTTTGTGTAAACCAGGTAGGAATTGGGGGTATCATGATACTTATGAAAAGATAAAAAAAAATGAATATACCTTCCTTCTTTCAGTTGTCAGCTGAGGTACAGACAGCCTTATGACTTCACTGTCATTATTTGGAGTTAAACCAAGATCTGAGTTGACTATGGCTTTCTCTATATCCTTTAAGCTTAACATGTCAAAGCATCACATGAAAAGAAAGGAAAAAGAAAAGGCCAGAGTTAAAAATGACTTCAGAGGAAGTCTTGAGAACACACGAATAGCATATCTTCATAGCTCAACTTAATTGAAAGATGCACCTCTTATCTGCTGAATGAAAAGACATCTAGTACAACAATACTTTATTCATAAAAGTATAAATATTAAACATACTGCCCAATTCATCTCCTTAGGGTTATGAAATACCTGGATTTGTCATATGGCTGAACCAAGAGAGAACTTGCATCGGGAGTACTGATTTGAGCAATGCTCTTCAAGTTAACAGGGCTTCCATAATATTCCACCTAAAAAATCATAGTAAGACTAAAATCATATCAGAATCAAAGAAGTAACCATGTACAAGAGCAAACATTCTGACCTCAATCTTATCTAGCATGGCAGGGTTAGCTCTCCCTGTCCTTATGGAATTGAAATTTGACCGAACTGTCTCAATTGTCTTCTCCATTCTCCCTTTCTGAACACAAAAATCGTTTCATTCTCAAGCTTTTACTAGATATTAACAGCTCGATAAAGAATCTCCTCAAGGTAAACAAATTCTAGAATATTGGAGCACACTTACAACATCCTTTTCGATTGAAGATTTCTCTGCTTGGATTTCTTCAATAGTTGCACACCTCACAACTCCAACCCTGCAACGCCTAAAACGATTGGCATAAGCAATTAAAATCAGCTTGCTAAACAGCAAGTGAATCAGCAATTCAATCTTGAATTTCTTGGTAGCATTTTCTCCAACATAAACAAGCCAGTCCACAATGTCCAATGAAACATAATAAGCAATTAAAATCATCCGGTTAAAACAGCAATTGTATCAGCTAAGCTATCATGAATTTATCATTAGCATTTTCTCAAACAGAAACAAGTCAGTTGACGATGTCCACTGTCAGACAAATGAAATCAGACAAACAAACAGCAATGCATCTTCAATTCTCAGTAGCATTTTCTCGAACATAAACACGGCATTCGAAGATGTGCTCCACCACCACCACGACACAAGAAACGACGGCGATCAAAAGACGATACGAAATCAGCACTGACCGACTCACCTACTACGCAGAAACCGTTTTAAGACGACAGTCTTGCCGGAAAGTCCAGCGGCGGCAACACCTCGAAGTCCGGCATAGTTCGCAGCAGCGCTCCAGCCAGAAAAATTAACGGTGCTGGAAGCACACTTCACGCAGTTGGCTCCTCTGCTGCAAGACTCTGCGATAAAGCTATCTTGTTAAGATGCTGCCTGGAAAACCAAACAGCAGCGACGATTAAGCAAATGCATTACAAGAATGAAGCAAGCGCGCGCACCTGAGACAGAGAGGAGGGATTTCGGAGGGTTCGGCTTGGGATTGAGAGTGGACCGCACCAGAGTTGCGGAAGAGAAAGGCGACGCCATCTTGAAGCAGAGATGGTTATGGCTGTGTTCCTGGTTTGACAACGCGGGGAAGGAGGAGGAGGTGGTGTTGTGGATAAGAACATTGTACGCAGGCTGTAGGTTGCAGTTCAGGGACTCGTTTGGTTGCTCGGTCACCATACTCCTAGCAACCGCTAATTCTGTATCGGCCCGGGTGTTAGCTCAGAATGGGCCAATCCAATGGCAATTTTGATTACCCTACCGTCCCACGCACTATGCACCCCACCCATTTCTTTTTCTGTGGGCCTGAATTGGCCCAAATTGGCCCAAATTTTGTGTTAACAAATACTACTAGGCTTTATACATACCCGGTCAAGAGAGTGCTGCAGTGTAGTTAGGCTGAATATGGAGTAGAGGTATATCTGTGACTTACAAGTACTTGTTTGGGTAAATATTATATTTAAATTATAAAAGAATTAGGTAAATAGTAAGTATAAAATAGTAGGGGAAAGTGGCCGTCAGTCCTGCCTCCCAAAAAAAATTTGGAGTCCCAACCATAAACGACGTCGTTCTCATTATCCCCAGCCCTTTCTTCTTTTTGCCTCTTCTGCAATCATCTCCATCTCCATCGACTCCTCCGATTTCGTCAATTTTTCAGACGCAATCCCACCCCGCTGACTTAATCTCTAGCACCCACTATTTTAACCCCATTCTCCCACTGCAATTCATCGTCTCAACAACTTCAACCCATTCCTCTAGTTGCGGAAGACGACGACGACGGCGAGCGCAAAGTAACCAAGCCTCGC